CAACCTAGCAGTTTGAAAGCAAGAAATTGCAAGTAGATAAATAGGTACCGCTTCGGTGGGAAGGTAACAGCGTTCCGTGCGCCTTGGTGTTTAGTCATGCCGGCCACATGACCACGGAAATGTCTTCGGTCAGTGCTGGCTCTTCGGCTTTGACACGGAGATGAGCACCGCAACCCTAGAGTCAGATTCGACTGGCTTTCGAGCAAGGGAACCTTTACCTTTACCTTTAAAGAATGTTTTTTAAAAAGTCTAAGGAAGATCGCACAGTGGAAAAGGGCGGGAAAAAAGTGGCACTGTTTGAAATGACCATAGAGCTTCAGAGACGGCTGATTAACTGAAGGAAATTTGCGGTATGAAACCCCCGTCTCTGTTTCGCTTTACTCAAAATCGGGCCAACAACGAATAACATCCGGTTTAGAACAGTAATGTGAAAAGGGCCCCAGTCACACTCTCTCAACCTAACTGACCTCACAGGGAGCCTGTGAAGATAAAATGGAAGAGACCAATGTGAACCCCTTTGGTTCCCCTCTAGGAAGAAAAGAAGGATATAGGTCAATAGGAAGTGATGAAACCTAAGGAGAGACAAGAGTGGAACTTACAGGGGATGGAAAGTCACATTCCCCTCTGCCTCTGTGTCCCTCACTTCCTTCTGTGCGCTCCATTTTTCTCCCCCACCAGCCCCTGTTCCACAGCCTCCCATTTCTCCTCATGGTGGCCACTGCTGTGGAGTCAAGCACCATTTGGGATTGTGGGAGGTCAGATGTGCAAGCAGGTGTCAGGGGAGGTATTTGATGTTGTAAATAAACCTCATTTCTCTTTTTGAAGAAGATTTTGTCCGGATGTGGCCGCATCCGCACATAATTGGATACTCTGCTGCCATTCCGTTCTACCGGTCCTTCACAACTGGATTTTCCACTGTGGAAAGAGCATTCCAGGAAGTGATTCCCAGGACTGGACAATGTTTGAGTGCATCCTAGGAAAGCACAGCCATTTCTTACAGACTTGTAAGATCCTACAGCCTATTACAAAGTCACCCAAGTTAGTTTCTCAGGATACACAGTGGCTTACCTCATGGGTCATAAAATGTGTAGCAGCTATCTTGTGGTCCACAGTTCCTTCGCGCTCCACACACACACACACACCAACCAACAGCAACTATTTACCTGACGTAACCTTGTTGCTACACGCAGACTCAGTGGCTCGCATTTCAAATCTGGCATTCCTAGATTCTTTCCCAACAGCTGTCACTAGAGTACAGTCAATTTCTAGGTTCAGTCAAATGAAGGTCGTGCCGGCAAAAGGTCTGCTTTATGTTGTGACACGATACCCAGATATTACCACAGATCCCTGATTGACTGTGATGAGATGTTCATTTTGACAGCCTCTAAATTGAGTTGAGACAAAGCTAATGGCGAACTGGAACGAGCATAGCTGCAGGGTCTATGTGCGCGCATGGGCGAGGGAAGGTGGAACCGGAAAGGTTTTCTAGATGAACTCCAAAAGTCAGCCATTTAGGGACGGGAGGCAGATGTTCGCCGTGTGAACACCCGTAAGTACACCGGTTGGAACCGGCACCCTAACCGTTGTAAATCCCCCGTCTGAACGCACCCATTGACACTTCTATCGATGTGCATTATTATCCCACCCGTCCTCCAGGGAGCTCATGGTAACATATGTGGTTCTCCCTTCTCTCATCTCATGTCATGTGAACATATGGAGTTGCCTTGTGCTGCATCAGACCCTTGGTCTGCCTGAGACAGTATTGCCTACTCAGACTGGCAGAAGCCCTTCAGGGTCTCTGGTGAAGGTCCTTCACGTCCCTACTACCTGAGCCTCTTAACCGGAGAGGCTGAGGATTGAACCTGGGACCTTCTGCATGCCAAGCAGATGCTCTGCCCCTGAGCCATGGCCCCTCCATTACCAGTTTGGGATTCCATTTCTTTTTTTTTTAAATTCTGGAATTTTTGACCCATTTTTTAGCCTTCCCCCAAGGGGGCAGGAGTAGGGAGGGAGGGAGAGAAGAAGCGGGCCCAGACAAGAAGCTACTAGTTGGCATCTCTCACATGGAACACATGAAGCTGTCCTATACTAAATCAGAACTCTGGTCCATCAAGCTTGGTATTGTCTACTCAGACTGGCAGCTCTCCAGGGCCTCACCTACAACCTGGTCCTTTTCACTGGAGATGCTGGGGATTGAACCTGGGACCTTCTGCATGCTAAGCAGATGCTCTACCACTGGGCCACGGCCCCTCCCCATCTCTCTTCCCTTTAACAATTAACATTAGAATCATAGAATCACAGAGTTTGAAGGGGCCATACAGGCCATCTAGTCCAACCCCCCACTCAATGCAGGATCAGCCTAGAGCAGGGGTGTCAAAGATGCAGCCCAGGGGCCGGAATAGGCCCCTGGAGGGCTATCAGGCCCGCAGTGGAACTGGCTGTCTTCTGCTTCTTCTTCCAGTTCTGCTGCTGCTGTGTCATTGTAGGTTTGCAGCTTGCAGATACACACCCGAACAGCATACTTAAGATTGCAACAGCACAGACATTTTGATGCAACAATTCAGAGCAGGAGGTGTCCGTTATCAGACACTGTTAAATAAACAAAATATTGCAAGAGTGCTAATGTTTTAAGCGTGTTTTTATTTTAAGTAAAAAAAAACCTTTGTGTTTGTGTCCTTTATCAAGTTTGTATTTCTGCTACCTGGCATGACATTTTATGACACACATGGCCCGGCCCAACAAGGTCTCATTTATGTCAGATCCAGCCCTCATAACAAATGAGTTCGACACCCCTGGCCTAGAGCATTCCTAACAAGCGTCTATCCAGGCGCTGCTTAAAGACTACCAGTGAGGGGGAGCTCGCCACCTCCCTAGGCAGCTGGTTCCATATGCTGTGGGAAGACCTGACGCCTGGAGTTAAGCAGGTCTATGCAGAAGTAAGTCCCATTTCATTCAGTGGGGCTTACTCCCCGGAAAGTCGTCTTGAGATGGAAGCCTTGGGTGGTTGCATTACAGAATAACCAGTGGTTGCAAGCTCCGAAAGGGGGGGAAGGGGTCATCTTGTACAATTCTAACAAACTTCCCAAGCCCTTCTCACTTTCCTGGATGCTGCTGTCTTGCAGAACCAAAAACTGGCTGAGCGACCTGGCCCACCTCACATGCTCCCGGATCCTTGTGAGAGCGTTATCTGGCACCATTTATTACCACAACAAGTAAGTGAGAGCCTGGCTCCCTTCCCAATTCTCTCAGTGGTTAGACCCCTTTTGTTCAGGTGCGGCGGCATGCTGGTAAGCCACAAAGGTCTCTGCCATCTTCCAGGAATTAGGAGAACCGGAGAAAGCAGCTCCGGCCAAGCAGGGATATGCAGTTCTGCTAAGTCCAGTGGTCTGCCGTCTGTGGGTTAAGACACCCCCAGTGGATCTCAGAATCCCACCTGCTGAGTCAACAGCCCATATAGAGCTGCCGTTTTTACCGTAACTACACTGTAAAATATAGTAATCTCATTGCTACCATAGGGAGACCGCTACACCATAGAATCTTTCTATGCAGTCACGTTTACATGCAATGTAAAACTTCCTCTCTTATGTTCTCCTGTGTTTATGTGGAAGGTTGCTGATTTTTAATACGTTTTACACTAGGCTGCTGTTTTTGGAGTCCCACTGCTGTCGGTGCTTTAGCTGTCTTTTTAATGGTTTTTGGAATGGCATCCATTAGTGCCCATGTGAAAAGAGCCAGGGCTCTCTTGACTTTCTTTGCGCGCTTGCCGGTAAGAGCTTTAAAAGGGGGTTAGATTGATTCGTGGAGGTGAGATCCATCAATAGCTACTATCCAAGGTGAGTAAAGGAGGCCTGCATATTCAGAGGAGTTGAACCCCTGAGACCTAGGGGCTGGAAGGCCTTGCCCTCTGGGCTTTGCTTAGTGACCCTTCGGGTTGGCAGGTTGGCTGCTGTGGGAAAGAGGATGCAGGACTAGATGGACCACGGGTCTGATCCCGCAGGATTCTTCTTAGGAGTGATCAGTCCCTGGAGGAGAGTGTTCCTCTTTAGGTTTTTTTAAAAAAACTATTTTTGTGAGTATTTCTGTGTTTGTGTATGCATGCGCTTGTGAGCCTGGAAGTCATGCTGACTTCTGGCGACCCCTAGTGGGTCTACAGTCATAAAAGACTTCAGCTTTGAAAACTAAGGCACCTTCTAAGTGGGAAAACCTTGCTGCAACAACTGCTCTCTAGAATGCAGAGAGCTGACGGCGTGAAGCTGCCTTCTTCTGAACCAGACCATTGGTCCATCAAGGTCCGCCTCATCTGCTGGTCGACTAGCAACATCTCTCCACGATGTCCCTCATATCTGGGGATGGATGGAGGAACTGAACACCTGGGATCTTCTGCTATGCAAAGCACGTGCTGGAACACCACCCTTACTTTCCTGGTCAGCCCAGCTCCTACTTTAATGGTCTTGTGTGGAGTGGCTGCTTCACAAGGCATTGCTGGCTGGCTGGCTGTTATAATTAGATTTTGTTCTTAAGCGGTAACAAAGCAGAGGTGCCCTCCTTTTTTGCTGATGAATTATAGACCTTGCTGTGATTTCTATAATAACTTTTTTTTAAACCCATCTTTGTATGTTGATTGAGAGCAGTAAAGAATTGAATTTTTGACATTGGGGGGGGATGCATGGGCTTAGCTTTGTAGTAATGTTAAGGTTTTAAGAACACAAGAGCAGCCCTGATGGATCCAATCAGTGGTCCATCTAGTCCCAGCATCCTGTCTCACACAGCGGTCAACCATTTTCTCTGGAGGGCCAACAACAGGGCATTGAGGCTGAGACCTTCTCCTGATGTTGCCTCCTGGCCCTGAAATCCAGATGTTTACTGCCTCTGAACATGGAAGTTCCCCTCACTCACCATGACTAGCCACTGATGGACCGGTCCTCCATGAATCTTTCTAGTCCCCCTTTAAAACTGTCTATACCTGTGGCCACCACTACATCCTCTGGCAGCGGATTCCACGTTTTAATCACTCTCTGTGCAAAAAAGTATTTCCTTTTGCCTGTCCTGAACCTGCTGCCCCTCAGCTTCATTGGATGCCCTGAAGTCCTCGTATTTTGGGAGAGGGAGGGAAGTTGTGTGTTGCCAGCAGCAGAAACCAAAGGACGGCTGTATAGAAGGGACTAACTCTTGTGTCCTGGATTCGCAGGGAGAACAGACCCCAGAAAGGAGGCATCTGTGTCGCCAACCACACATCTCCGATAGATGTTGTAATACTGACAAACGATGGCTGTTACGCAATGGTAGGTGACCGCCGCTTTGCATGGTTTGTTCCTTGTGGTTGCAAGAGAAAGCAGGCCACTTCGACAGGAGTTCTGCGAAATTTCTCTTTAAAAAGAAATTGGAAAATCCGTCTTTAGTTGATTCCTATGCATATATGGGGAAGTCACTGAGGTTGCATTTGAGTCTCCTTAGTGGCAGCAGGGAAGCGAAACTCTGAAAAAAGCAGACTCACAAACAAGTTACCTTGAAGTTGCAACTCTGTAATGACGCACAAGTTCTGTGGTAGTCTTTTTAAAAAGTTGTGTAACTGAAGTTTGGCTATTCCAGTTAAGGACCTTTTAATGCATAGTTGCGGATGTTAGGTAATGTTTTAGTAGTTCCCCAGAAAATTATATGTGGGTCCCGATAAGTATTCAGAGGCCTCCCCCTTTTTAACAGGGTTGCCGGAAAACGTCATCAATGCCCAGGTTGCCCAGCCTCCAGGTGGGGCCTGGAGATCTCCTGGAATTTATAGCTGGTCTCTCCAGACAATGAAGATTAGCTCCCCTGGAGAAAATGGCTTGTTTGGTGGGCTCTATGGCATTATGCCCTGCTGAGGCCCCTCCCCTCCCCAAGCTCCACCCCCAAATCTCTAGGAATTTCCCAGTCCCATGTTGGGAACCCTGTCCTACCCCACTTGCATTACCCCATTTCCCAGTATCCCCTGAGGTATTGATAGAGGAGTTGCTTCTAAGTATTCCCCCTCCCCTGGGGCAGAACTCTTGCCCTCTAGGCTCCTAGGGGCTTTTTGAAGAAGAAGAGAAGAGAGAAGAGATTGGATGTAAACCCTGCCCTTCACTACCCGAGGGAGTCTCAGAGCGGCCTACAATCTCCTTTCCCTTCCCCTCCCCACAACAGACACGCTGTGAGCAGTGCCCCCTCTAAGCTGTGCAGTCTTGTGAGCCAAACTCCTACTGTGTGAGCTACTGTTGTGAGTGAGTGATTTGGCTACTACATAAATTAGTTTGCTCTGGAGCCATCCTTCATGAGCTAAGACAAAAATGCGTGCGCCGGAGGCTAAAAAACTGTGAGCTAGCTCACACTAACTCATCTTAGGGGGAACACTGACTGTGAGGTAGGTGGGGCTTAGGGAGCTCTTTCGAGAACTGCTGGTGAGAGAACAGCTCTGAGAGAGTGTGTGACTGACCCAAGGTCACACCAGCAGCTGCATGTGGAGGAGTGGGGGATCAAACCCCATTCTCCTGGATTAGAGTTTGTGCTCCTAACCGCTACAGCAAACTGTCTCTCAAACTGGTTGTGGAAGACGATTGGGGGACAGCTAGAGTGATGGTGTTCGCTTCGACGGCACTTTTCCTCCACCACCACCACAGTAAAGGAGGCCAGTAACTCCTTGATAAAAGTTTGAAAGGGACTTATTTTGACGGAATGCTTGTTTCTATTTGTCTTTTTGGGGCAACTGACAGGTTGGCCAAGCTCACGGGGGACTCATGGGTGTCATTCAAAGAGCCACGGTCAAGGCCTGCCCGCACGTCTGGTTCGAACGCTCCGAAATGAAGGATCGCCACCTAGTGACCAAAAGGTAGAGCGCACTTGTTACATGAAATGCATTCCCTTGTGTTGGGAGACCCTACAACTCTTTGCCTTCTACGTGCAATACAAATATATTGATTGGACAGAAGTGCTTGTTTATGTTCCTGTTAGCTAGTTATTTAGGCTAAGAGATGGTGATTGGGCCAGTGATGTCTGAGTAGGTTCATGGCTAAACACAGAATTTATTCTATTTCCCTTTAACTGGACACTTCAAGTTATTGTAACAAGCTTTGCCTCTTGCCAATTGCTGCAGTTGCCTGTCACTGCTCTGAGCAGCAGAATATATATATATATATATAGGTAAGGGGGTATCTACTGACTACTGTAGTCATGTATGGCTGCGAGAGTTGGACTATATAT